CCTGGTTTGTTGTGGAAGAAGATGCAGATGCTGTTCTGGTCACAGATGGTGACGCTGATGATTCTGATAAAAATGCCGGACCCGGAGATGTTGGATCAATATGTGATTGTGAAGTCTTCTTCTACTTCAGAATTATCATCTTGCTGAGACGAAGATAGATTTCGATATTTGGTGGCCGGGGTCATTAGATCTTTTAAAAAAGACATCATTTGAAAATATGGCTAAGAAGAATTATTGTTGGCCCCATCTCCAGAACGGGACACTGGAAGTTTTTTCAACTCACGGACGAGATGGCAAAAAAGTTATTTGAAAAAGTTGCTTACAATTAAATTTTATATCCGTGTGCGAAATTTCCACACTGTATATTTCCTAACCATTTACAAAATTTAAATAAAATAATTATTGTTTTATTATACATTTTCTTTTGCAACTCACTCAACTTACTTACAGATTCCTTGTCACCGGAACCACCTATAAACATTTGGGACACGAATTCAGAATGGGATATTCCACAGTTTCTGAGATCGTAAAGGAAACATGTCTTATTATTTGGGAAAAATTACAGGAAGATTATATGCCATTTCCTAACCAACAACAGTTGGAAACAATAATCGAAGAATACAACACACTATGGAATTTTCCAAATTGTTTCGGATCAATCGACGGAAAGCATTGCCAAATAAAATGTCCCCCTAAAAGTGGAACAACATATTTTAATTACTTGAAATATTATTCTATCGGACTACAAGGGGTTGCCGATGCTAACAAGAAATTTATCACTATAGAAGTGGGTTCAAAAGGATCTGAAAGTGACGGTGGAGTTTTTCAGTCTTCGACACTTTATAACTTATCAGAGACAAATCGACTGAATGTACCTCCAGGTAGAGCATTACCAAGTTCTAATATTATTCTGCCAAATGTCGTGATAGGGGATGAGGCCTACCCGCTAAAAACGTATCTAATGAGGCCATATCCACGACCAAGAAATGGAATTTTAGATGATGAAAAGCAACTTTTCAACGACCGTCTTTCACGTGCTCGAAAATGCATTTGGCATATATCAAAAATTCAGAATATTGGATACAAGTATTTTACTTAAACAATCAACAGCTATAAATGTCATCAAATGCGCATGTATACTCCACAATTTAATCAGACACTTTGATGGAGATTCTGATACAGATTACAATAATATTATGGAAAATACACAAAATAACATAAATATAAACGCAAGAGCAGTTCGGAACAATAGAGCAGCTAATAGAGTTACAGACATTCGAAATGCATTTAAACAATATTTTGTCGATGAGAATCTATGAATGTTCTAATAATATGTTATTATAAATAAAGAATTTCTAGGTTATAGTGTTTTTTACCAATTTAATATCTTAAAAATACTTACTCGATATTCCTAATATCACTCCCACGTCAGCATATAGCCTATCTCTTAAATGTTTATTTTTATACGAAGCCAGCTTTGTGTTCCATAACGAGGGCCTTGACTGGATTTCTGAAATCAATATTTCGGCAACGTCGTCCTCTGTTGGACTCATTTTGACGACTGGTCGCTGCTACGACGCTCCAAAAAATCAATTCCATTTGTTTTCGTCGCTGTCGCTGGAAGGCATCGCAACGCGACGCCGCGCCGATCGCTCTCACTCTGAATGCTTGAATTTGGTAACACTAGGTTGTTTAACTGTCGACGTGCCGCTCGTCGCAACGCTAACGCATCGCGACGCTCGTCGCTCCCACTCTGAACAGGAGCGGCGTATACCACTTCACCGACAGCAGTGCTATCCCTGTTGACGGGGTGGGTGATGTTGGCGATGAGGAGGGGGGCCATGTATGATTGTGAGACTGTACGGAGGGCAGGTATTGAAAGAGTTGCTCGAGGTGCCTGTTAATTTCTTTCGTTTTTTGGTAACTAATTGTTTAATTACTAAACGTTAATTTTAGAAGTTAATATCGTAGATATAGGTTGTACCTACTTGATTCAAAGAAACGTATCGAAAAAGAAAAATTTCAAAAAGTTGAAATTATGTAGCACTACAACTAACAAAGTGGACGCGCGAAACAGCGTTATAAACAAATTGTCTCGGGGTCAGGCAAAAACTGCTCGAGAATTCACTCTTTTTGCATTAAATAGAGCTTATTTTACGGTAATTTTTTAAAAAAAAAGAGAAATCACCTACGCACGCCTCTGTTCCCAAGTTAGCTTTTTTATATAACGTTAATTATTAATTAACTATTAGACGTATCGGGCAGACCGGGCTTTTAGAGACAATTAACGAAACGGTTAAACTTTTATTTTCAAAAAGTGAAAAAATGTCAGCTTTCAAATGGCAATAATGCCTTTCCGATTAAATTTCAACGATAAGAAAAAATCAAGTCAAGTAGATTTCGGTAGATTTTTCGCATATTTCCAATTATTTTGCAATATGCGCACAATTTGCACATGAAAGTGCAACTCTTAGAGAAAATCTTAAGCTCAAGATGGATCACGTAAGTGCATTACTGTACGATGTATTGAAACTTGAAAAAAATATATTTTTTTCGAAGAACTCAATTTTTGCAAAAACTCAAATATTTAGTAACATTACAAAAATAGACTTATTCTACTTACCAAGGACTACATATTCTGAAAGATTCCAAAAAAATCATTTTTAACCGTGTTTTTGCAACAGTTAAAACATTAGTTTATCAATTGACTTCGAGCTAGGCTCAAAATTTTTGTTATAAAAAGTTCTTCAACATTTGTCAAAAAATTAATTTTTCTAAAATGTTTTTTTTTTATGAAAAAAACTGCCTTTTGCGAACTTTGGACGCCATTTCGAAAATGAAGCCCTAATATTCAGCTGTGGTCAAGTAGTTCATTCAATTCTACGGAATTTTTCCTAATTTTTACGTGTCTTTGTTTACGAAACTAAATTTTGGCAAAAAACGATATATTTTCGACAATTTGACTGACCGAGTTCGTGTGCATGCGCTTGATCGGCCCTTTCGGAAGGCATTTTACAATTGTTTTTTAAATAATAAATATAATAAAATACTTTAAACACAAATACCTACTAAATAACTACTTTAACACTCAGTAACACTAAAATAATAATACCACAAATAAATACATATCGAAAACGATATAACATATCAACACAAAACGTCATAAACTTTTAAGGTTAAACCTCAAACATTTTTATGTGCAGTATTCAGTGTTGCACATTTATATTTAGTTAGTTTCACAGGTATACCAATCATCATAATTATGTTGACTTTTTGGTTTGCCTCCCAACATAAGGGTCGTATGACACTACACTAAATTGAGTACTAAATTTTATATTTTCATTTACATAAATTAGTGACAATAATAATCTGTATTACACGTTTCAATTTCTCGTACAATATTTAATGTACGCGCATGCGCAGAACATTAATACAGACAGTTATGTCCTCCTAACGTCACTTTCTTTTCATAAAAGTAAGGTTAGTTTTTATTTTGTCAGCAGATTAATAAACAAATATGAAAAATAAAATATTAATTAGGGCGGTAGGTTGTTTAACATTAATAACTACTATAATTGTACGTCGCAGAATGCTACGTAAACGAAAAAGACGTGCAATTTGGTCAAGAAAATGGCTCATAATGCGAAATGAAGGTCGTGGTTTATTAAATTTGTTAAATCAGGAACTACTAATTGTGAATATAGAATCCTACAGAAATTTTCTGCGGTTGGACGACCAGCAATTCGAAAAGATATTAACTCTTATTGTTGAAGATATACAAAAAGAGGATACGTTTATGAGGGATAGTATTTCTCCAAGAAATAGGTATGTACTTTTGGGAATATTGTTTGAATAAAAACTACGAGAAATTACGACTCCAACGGATCGATTGATTACATTTTTCATATATATATATATAGGTTGGAAGTTACCTTCTTATGCATTTTAGCCACTGGCCTTTCGATCCTTCATGTATTCTACTCGCATTCATGAATCGACAATTTCTAAATTTATACCTGAGGTCTGTCGTGCTATATATAATCACTTGAAAGGAGAATATCTTGAGGTACTTATGTTGGTAAACATTTATGTAAATGATTATGTATCTTTGATTATTTCCATATACCTACTACACCAAAGGCATGGAAAACTATTGCCAATTACTACCAGCTATGGCAATTTCCAAACTGTCTTGGGGCCCTCGATGGTAGACACATAAAATTTTGTGCACCAATATCATCGGGATCATTTTATTATAACTATAAAGGTATAAACTCTATTGTTTTATTGGGCTTAGCTGATGCAAATTACAAGTTTATTTATGTTAACGTGGGTGTAAATGGAAGAGTTAGTGATGGTGGTGTATTTCGAGAAAGTAAGTTTTCTAAAGTTTTACAAAACAACAACCTTAATTTCCCAGAAGATGAAGTTCTTCCAGGAAACGGCTCAGAAAAACTCCCTTATGTAGTCATTGCCGATGATGCTTTCCCACTTTCTACTAGGTTATTAAAACCATATGCACAAAGAGGCCTTTGTCAGGAACAAAAAATTTTTAATTATAGGTTAAGCAGAGCACGGAGGATGATTGAAAGTACATTTGGTATATTAGTTAATCGTTTTCGTGTATTACGTAATCCTATATGTCTTAATGTAGAAAAAGTTGAACTAATTACTTTAACCTGTATAGTTTTGCATAATTTCTTGGTAATTAGCAAAGGAACAGTCTACACTGACATCGATCCTGATGAAAAACTTGATTGCATGGGAAACATCGGAAATCAAGGTGGTAATAGGTGCACTGTGAGTGCTTTAAGAATTCGAGACAAATTTAAAGATTATTTTTGCACAGTTGGTGCAGTTCCTTGGCAAAACGAGGCTGTAAATAACTGTAATATGTAGGCAATAAAAAATAAACAACTTTATAATTTGAAGTTTAATTTTTGCCTACCTACACAAAAAAAAATAATGGATGCCTCAATATTATTTTAAGGATAGGAGGATATGCTTATAAGTAATACAGAATATTTTGACTCCTTAAAATAATAAATATGTATTTATTGGTACTACTCTAGAAATTGATATTATACAGGTAAGTATATATATTTTAAGAACTGTGACTTCTTTTATTCTCTCTATATCTTTTCAAGTTAATAAATATAATATTAGCTATATCCTCTTTGGTTTCATCTAATAGATGAGGATCATCAACCATAACTTGAAGTTTACTAGTAATAAATTCTGCAAAAGCCTGCAGGCCGTTTGAATTAACTTCCTTGTTACTACTGAAGGCTTCTGCCAAATGTTGCATTGTTTGTGATGCTGTGGTTAAAACATCATCTTCATTTATTCTCTTTCTTTTTTTTTGTTTTCTTAGAACACTTGCCTTTATTTCACTTCGATTAGGTGTCTTAGTAATATCACTGTTCGAATCAGTTTCTGTTGGGTATTCTGTAATATCAATAATAATGTTTTCTTCACTATTCGGGTTTTCTTCAACATATTCTCCATACTGGAATAATATAAATTAAAAAAAATAATATATTGTCCTTCTAATACTTACCTGTGGTTCCATTTCTTTACCAAATTCACCCCCAGAGTCAAGAAGATTGGAGTTTTCTGCAATACTCTTTTGATGATCGTGGTACACTGTGCTCAACGATAAACATCATGTTCTCAAAATACCACAATGTAGGTCTATAAATCTGTTAAAAGGTCAGCATGATTAGGAAAGTAATGATACATAATAAACCTATTATTTAACAAGTCTTACCTCATCTGCACCTGTGCCACTTTTATTAGATGCCTTATATTTTCTATACTCAGACAGAAAATTAGTTCGCAAATTATTAAATTTGCATTTAATTTCCGCCAGTGTTGCTTCTGGTTTTATTTTTCTCAATTCCGTTTCAATTTCAGTCAAAGCCTTGAATCTCGCGTGTCTATTTTTATAAGAAACTGATTTTACGGCATATAAACATGAATGATTTTGATATAGATCTATTAACATTTGTACTTCATTTCTACTCCGCGACATAATTTTTATTTGCGTAATTTTTTAGATTAACTTAACACTACTAGTTCAATTTTTAGATAAACTAAATAAGGTTAAATTACGATTATTACGAAATGTTGACACAAGATTTACTTGACAATCAGAAACTGAAGCTAGCCAGAATAAAAAAACTCGATGAATAGTTCTGTAGCTATATTCATACATATTTTCTTGACAAGAAATTAGGACATGTTTGAAAATCTTGTACTAAAAATTTGTAGGCAACAATTTTTGTTGCAATTTCTGTATGATACTATGCAAGATTAAAAAGTTCTTAATTAATTACTAAAATTAGTTCTAATTTTAGCATAGTGTCATACGACCCTTAGTATAAATCCTTCTAAAACAGCCTTAATTTTATTCGGCAAGAAGACTAAAGCTTTTGATATCTCTAAATTAATTAAGATTAATATAAATGGGCATTTGCTAGAATTTTCTAAGAGTGCAAAAAATTTAGGTTTAATCTTAGATTCCAACTTAAGATTCAGGGAGCAAGTTAAAAAAATGGCCCAACGAGCATACCTAGGATTGCGGCTTCTGTATCCCCATCGTAAATATCTAAACATAAATACTAAGAGAATGCTTTGTGAGACATTGATATTATCCCAGTTTACATTTTGTGCCCCTGTATATGGACCTTGCCTAGATCTTGACAGCAGCAACCTCATCCAACGCGTTCAAAATGCGTGTATACGTTTTATTTTTGGTATTCGTAAATTTGATCATGTATCGCATAAGTTGCATGAACTTGGCTGGTTGGATATGTTCAAACGGAGAAAACTTTACTCACTTTGTTTCTTTCATAAACTTTTACTTACTAAGACTCCACCTTATCTATATAACAAAATTGTATTTCGCAGTGATGTGCATAATATTAATATTAGATCCAAAGGTTTACTCAGCCCTCCTCAACATAAAACGTCTTTTTTTGAGAGAGGTTTTAAATACAATATATACCGGTTGTACAACAGCGTCACACTCGGTGCAGGATATATTAGTTGTGCAAAGTTCAAAAAATTTGTTAGGACAATGTTATTTTCTTAGGTATGTTACTTATTTAATGCTACTATTGTTATTATTGTTGTAATTTATATGTTTACTGTGATGTAATACTGACTACGGTGCTTTATATATTAGATATATGGTATTCAAGGGTTAAGTGGTAGAGCACAATTATTGTGAACTTCCCCTTGAGATTTCCAAAACTATGGATAACCTTTTTATTTTTGTGCTGAATGACTTTTATTTTTCTTTTGGAAATAAAGACATTATTATTATTATTATTATTATTATATAGGTATACAGGGTGTTCCTAAATTCATGCAACAAAATTTGGTCATTGATTCTTAAGACAAATTTAGGGGACTCGTATTTTTTCTTTTTGCCACCTGGCCCCCTCTTTTGGAGTTACAGCCCCCTGAAATCAGCCCCTAAAAAGTCTTTTTATATCTCACAACCGTATTGTACGAGAATCATTAAATTTGGTACACAGGGGTTTTATGATTAGTGGAATCTCACAGTGCTACGTTTTTTGGCGAGAAACCCCCTTAAGACATTTTTTCGTGGGCCCCCTTGTCTTTGGAACCAGAAAAATTTGGTCGCAAATTTGATATTTTTTTTTTAATTATTAGTTAGCTATAAAGCCATCGAATTTAGAAACTCTTTTATCTCTTAATATTTATTTCGTAAAAAGCAATGTTTTTGAGGAAAATTGCGAATCACGATATGCAATAATCGATCACATTTTGACATATTTTTCTCGAAAACGTTACGTTTTACGAAAAAAGTATAAACAAACAAAAAGTTTCTAAATTTAATGGCTTTCTAGTGGACTGATAATTTTTAAGAAATTTAAATATGCGACTAAATTTTTTTGGCTCCAAAGACAAGGGGGCCCATGAAAAATTGTCTTTAGGGGGTTCCTCGCCAAAAAACGTAGCACCATATGTCATAAAACCACTGTGTACCAAATTTAGTGATTCTCGTACAACAGGGTTCTGAGATATAAAAAAAAAATATTCTTATAGGGGCGGACTTCAGGGGGTTTTAACTCCGAAAGAGGGGGCCACTTCGCAAAAATAAAAAATACGGGTCCTCTAAATCTGTCTTAAGAATCTGACCAAATTTTGTTGCATGAATTTCGGGACACCCTGTATATCGTATGTATATATCGTGATTTAGACATCCAACTGTGAGTAATCTATCGATATCGATAGCACAGAATATTTTAATGTGAAGATATTAGAAATATTATACTATTATTTATGAGTACTTCAAATATTTAGAATGTTGAAAAATATCAGTTTCGTTGGACTTGTCAAACTGTTCTTAATCGATACTACTGTTTTTGCATACAACCCACAATGATTGTGAACGCGCCCCAGCTTTTGGTAGAGGCTGGTTGGCAACCCTGCCTACGCCGCCAAAAGAACTCTGTAATTTATGGCCTATGGAGTATGGCCCAGTGTTACCAGATCTCCTGTTTTAACAGGAGATATCCTGTTTTCACTCTCACTCTCCTGTTCTACTGTTTTCACTATGAGATCTCCTGTTTTTAGTCTCAATGTCTATTCTTCTGGTTTCTCTATGAAATCTTCAGTTGATTATACTAATTTTCCTCAGAATAAGAATATTTTAGTACGACACTGTTCTCTAACGGCACTGTGTTCGTCACTTGTTAATATTTTCAATCCTGCTGTATTTTCTGTAGCCGAGTTCATGCAAGATCTTTTACTGATCTTGCAGTTCATGTACATATTTAAATTTTAAATCCGCAATTCGCGTTTATACAGGGTAGGAAAGTACCGATGGTCTATCTGAAGTTACGTGAGAGCGATAAAGTAAGCCATAGAAATCCATGCGATAGAGAAGGATGGCTATAATGAAGGCCTCTCATAGTCACCGCTCGTTTCGCCCTTCCACAAATAAGATCCACTTCTTATTTGTGGAAGGGCGAAATGGGCGTTGACTATTAGACGCCTTAATTATAGCCATCCTTGTCTATCACATGGATTTCTATGGCTTACTTTATCGCTCTCACGTAACTTCTGATAGACCATCGGTACTTTCCTACACTGTATGAACTGGGCCTAACAGAAGGCGTTTCGTTTCGTTCGTTTACTTCAGCGGGATTCTGGGATTTTTTATTTTGACAACTGACAGTTGTCAAATCACGTGACGTACCGATGTAATTGCAAACTATTAAACGAACTCCTACATTTATATATTTTGCTATATTTTGTGCATGTACTAGTGTTCCTCTATTAAAAAATATATTTATTAAAATCTCCTATTGAAAAAAGAAATCTCCTGTTTTTTTGGCTACATTTCTACTGTTGACAAAAATTTCCATCTGGCAACACTGGTATGGCCACAATTAGGTTAGAACTGTTAGAAGTGATGGGTGACGTGTTTGTATTCTTTTTGTACTCGAAAGAAGATTGTTTTAGAGCAATGAGTGATGTTAAGGAAATTTCGTGTAGACTTTGCATTAAATCTATAACAGATACAAGTTTTGAAGTGGTAGACAACGTTATCAGAGACATTTTGGATGTTCTTTTGCTGAAATTGGTAAGTCGGTGAAATCTAATTAGATTAGAACTTAGCAGTCTCAAATGTAAAGCAGTTTTTAGTATTTAATTTTCCACTACACTTATTTTCTTTCTGTTTAAACTTGCATATTTTTCAGAAATTTGATAACGAGAACAAAGAGGTTATATGTAGCATTTGCAGAAGAAAATTAAATGGGGCATTAGAATTTAAGTCGACCTGTCTGAATACTGATAACATAATTATTCCTTATGTGGACAGCGAAAAAATGTTACAGCTCGACTTAAGAGAAGTGTACATGCAGGAAAAGAAAAACGAGTTAGTTTGCAGTCGGAAAATATGTCGATTGTGTATGCACCCAGTAGAAAGTGAAGTTAGGTTCATAGGTGAAGAGGAACTTGAAGCCATCGAGAAATTGGCTCCTGAAATGGTATCACTGATATGAAATCGTTACATTTTTCGCAATTTAATGAAACTACTTTGCAGAATATAAATATCATCAGAGGTCCCGTTGTATGTAAGGAATGTTTTGATTCTGTGTGCACCCACAACAGTTTCCTAAAAAATTGCTTGGAAGTACAGGAAACAATTGGAGGTATTTTTAATAGCGCAGCAAGTGTAAGTCAGATAGACACGTCACCATCTGATTTATTCGTTAAGACTGAGAAATTGGACAAAGAATTCTATATTAACGAGATGGAAATGTCCATCAAAGCTGAAAGTATCGACATCAAATCAGAAGAAGAGGAAAGCAGGTAAGAGAAGACTATTTTAACATTAATTATAAAAATAAGTCGGTTTTGATACTTCGTGAATACGTATCATCTGACGATGAACTAACAAATTATAAGATTATGTTGGTAAACAATCTTCAAGAGTTAGGTTAACAAATTATTAGGAAAAAATGTAAGATCATTATAAAACAATCGGTATGGCTTTAAATCAGATACAGTGGCGACCCGTGGGTTTGACTACAGGGGGGAGGGTGCATTTTGAAGAGAGAGGAACTATTTTGAATGTTTTCAACTGATTTTGCAAAATATTCTTATTGATGTTTGTATTTTTGCTAGATCTATTTGAATTTTTTGTAACAATCAGCTTCGAGCCATTTAGCAAATCCAGCAACTTGTATAGTTGTTTCGGAATTATATTTTTTTGGTTGTTCTATTTGAATATTCGTAAAGCATGTGAGAACATCATCTTTGTAAGTAAAAATAGTTTGGACTGTTTAAGAATTTGTGTTCCAACACGTCTGTGACGATCTTGGTATTCTTTTGTCACAAACATCTTTTATTTTATCTTTTGCTCTATCATAAAATAAAAATCTTTTCAATGGCATTTCATCAATACAAATTTAGCAATCTTTAGCATATTCTTTTAAACTGGATACTTTTGATTTAATGACTTCAAAGATAAAATCATTGATTCCAGCAGTTATTTCCCATTTTTGAGTTATTCTGCACAAAATACTTTTAGAGGGCAAGCAAAATGTTTTTGTCAGAAATTTGTAAGCCTGTGGACTTAAAAAGTACACTGTCAAAGCAAACTGTTTAAATTTATTGGAATATCGAACACCTTTTACTTTTTTTCTGTTCATATCTAAATTTGCTGACATAAAATTTGT